GCTAGATGACCTCTAGGGGTCCCTTCCAACCCAAAACATTCTATGATTTTATGATATTTTGATTTGGTTCCCCTGAAGGGACAGGGGCATTGCACTTTTCCAATGCAAAGCATCTTTAATGATGAACCTGGAGACGGTGCTCCACTCTCCTGCAATTTGCACATGAGCATCCTCTTTAATGGTTAGAAAATCACAAATGCTGATAGTTGCAGCTGTCTAGGATGATTACTGCTTCATGGGAAGTTTTTTAATGGGGTTTTTTTAATCTTAATGGGAATGAAAGTTTCTTGCTGTTTTTAAAGAAATTGAAGGCTCGATTCCAGCCTGAATCTGAGCCTTTTGACTTGGGACATGAGGATATCTGGCGTGGTCACCTCAAGTGAGGGTGGGAGGGGGAGACTTGTTGGCGTTTGCTGGGATGTGCCTTTTTTTCCTCTCCCTGCGTCTAGGATGAAAAGTCCCATTGAATGAGATAATTGTATTGGTTCTAACCTCGGGCAGTGGAAAGGACTCGGGAGTGTTGAGGATGCTTTAAAGCGTTATGTGCAGAGCTGTCCTCATGCGAGGTGGACCTACACTGAGAGAACACCTTCCAGAACAGCAGATACAGTTCCCATGACTGAAAAGGTTACTTTCTTACAAGATTTCTATCTCCAAAGCATCCTTTCATTTTGGCTCAAAATGTTACCAAAAGCAGCATATAGGAGATGTAAGCATTAAAGCATTAATGCCACTTTGAGTGATGTCCTAATCAGAACCTAGATCTTAATGTGGTTTTGGCTCATCTTTGTGAAACCAAATTATTTCAGTTGTTTACAGCCGGGTGTGCTTTTTTCCCATGGCTTGGTATTCTGTCTTGCCTCCTAGCAGTTTGTTTACTGATATTAGCCCTATTAATGTCAGCTGGCAGAGATTTTCCTTTTCATTCAAGGGCTGACAGCCAGCACACCTTTGAAGTCCCTGAAGAATTAGTTGCCTTGGGAATTTCTCGTGCTGTAGCCTATTTATGTTTTTTTAAGTCAGTTTTTGATCGCTAGCTGAATTCACAACTATCATCTTCATAATGTCATTAATAAAGGTTTCTTAACCATGTTGATGGGCACTTAGGGCATTGTGCAATAGTTCAATAAAAACATTACAAAACACAAATAATCACAGCTTATAAATAGAAAGAGGGACAGTCTGCAAAGATCTGAACATCAAAGCCTGAAGGTATTTAGGAATTCAAGCCCACCTTTCAATGTTTAAAAAAGAAACCCCAAAAACCCAACCCCAAACATATAACAAAAAAAGTCATAAAAAGACTCTAGTAGGAACAAAACTCCAGAAGGGGGTGGTTTAAAGAAAAATGTCAGAAAATTGGGGTAACTTTATTCTCATGAATTCAACACTGGTTGTACCAAAGAAGCAGTTTTTAACAGAGAAATCTACCTTTTTGGGGCCAATTTATGTATGGAATAAAGAGCTACCCACCTGCTGGTAGGGTACCTGTAAGTCAGGATGGACATTGTGTTAGGTGCATGTATCAGAATGCACAGGCAGTAGGGATTAAACAGTCAAAACCATATCATCAATCAAAACTTAAAGCTATCACTTTTTTATTACTTGATAGTCAAGCACAATTCACTAAACCACCGCAGAGTCTCCAGCTCTTAAAACCCGAAAACTTGGAGGATGTTGCATGATACCCATTCCACTCCTAAAACTGTCTTTTCTACCAAAACCCTGACCTATCAGTACAGCTGGAAAAACGTGCGCATCCGAGAGCAGAGGAAAGTATCTCCTGAGAAGTTCTGAATTTCACTGCTGTCTTCTACAGTGGCTGGTGATGGCTGGAAAGTACCGTATGGTGGTTGAGGAATGAGGAATCTGCTCCTATTGGGTTTGTATTATTGGTGTTTTTTATGGCAATTTAGGCTTCCACATAGTAGCCCATGCCTACTGGTGATTCAAATCTAAGATAAAATTTTACATGGTGCTGGCTGCTTATAGGAAAGATACGCGCACCTCAGCTCTCGCATGCATTGCTCAGTAATCCCAAGGAGCAATTGGCTGTGCTGAGCATGAAGTGTGTAAGTAACGGGCACATGGTATGCATGCACACATGTCCATAGAAGAAATTTTCAACATAGTAATACTTTTACTGTAGCCTTCAGATTTTATGTTGTCATCTGATGGTAAAGACCAGTTCACAGGATTTTTTTTTTGTCAGCATTCATCAATGAATTTATCTGAATGGTGCTTTGACTTTTGTTTACTTGCTTTAAAAAGGTATGTTTTCCATTTAAGTGGGCAGTTGTTCAAGAGCTGTTGCAAAACCGTGTTACACAATGCGAGCATTCCTGATGGCATAAGCAATAGGCAGGCGTGGCAAGCTGTTGTAAGCTTTTTAGGTCAGTATGCCATGAATCAGTATTTATTATCTAACTTTTTCAGAGTACGAAATTTTGACCTTTTAGCTATGCAGCTTAGTTTGGGACTGCACAAGGAGGCGGATTATATGCAAAATGCTGTCACTTCTGAAATCTTGGCATTTGTAGCCTCCGACTCAAAGCAAAGGCAGCTCTGAGATGAGGTATTAGCAGTCTCACCATGTACAGCTTCAGCATCCTTTCTCTTCTTGAATAGCCAAATGCAAAAAAGATTGACGGCATAAAAAAAGCTGTGTGTTTCCTGTGCAGTTCCCCCATCCGTGGGAGCTCTCGTTTTCAAGGGCAGGATGTGACCTTTGAATGTCCACGGCATTGTAACTGAGATGAAATCATTTTATAAGCAGTGATAAAAAAGCACATTGATGGTTACAGTAGTGCCCTGTGGCATTTTATCCCAACATCGCATTAATCCAACCTGATAATCTGTCAAAAATCCTATTTAATGTGAGTCAATACTTTCAAACTGAAGTTCTCATTCTTCTACTGGTTTTCCAAAACATTCCCATTATAGCTGTCAGCTTTATAGCGATGACGTGATTCATTTGATACCGAATATTTCTAATAAAGAGAACATAAATCCTTTCATAAATTGATGTTTGTCAGTCAGCAAGCCCTTCTGCCTTTCTGGCATTAAAGTCCAAGGAAAACGGCTTATACACAAATCAGAGAAAGCACAGGATACTTTTGGGGAAAACAGTAGATGAGGACACAAGTTTCCTGATCAATGTTCCAGCTACATAAAGTGGATTAACGTCTCCGAACTGTGATCTGAAAGTGCACAGCAGAGATTACGTGGTTACTGCTGTGGCTGCTGTTCGTGATTAATTGCATTTAAAAGCTCCTGAGATGCTTCACAGGGTAAAAATGGGAAAAAAACATGTTCTTGAGTGGTTGGATAGTGTTTGGGTTGAGCATCTGCCCCTCACGAGGGCAGTGTGTGCTGGCTGGCATTGGTAAGCCACCTGAAACCCGTCCTTCACCCCTGAATAAAGCCAGTATCTGGTTAGTGTTAAAAGCAGCAATGTTTTGTTCCCAGATCATTCCCCTGGAGCTCCTGCCGTGGGTTTTGCCCTCCATTATGTACTTAAAAATTTGCATAGTTTTCCAGTCTGGTTTTCTGATAATGAAGGTCATACTGGTATCAGTATTGGGATGATTTTATAGGATAGTCCTCTGTCTCCTTCTACAGTTCTGCAAATAAATCGTCCTGTTACAGCATCGCAGGCGCTTACGGCATCCACAAGCTGCTTACTTTAATCTCTGGTCGGATTTAGAGGCCAAATGGCAGGGATGGATAGGAGCAGCCCAGCACATTAATGCTCATCTGAAAGTCAGTTGCAGATTTGGCTTGTGCCTTTATAATGCGGGATGGATGCATCAGATAAAATGGGAGGACTAAGGAAAACAAAGGGTGTTTCTTGCCTCTAGGGAAATACAAAATAACTCTTTGGGGTGTTCCAATTGCTTAGTTGCTCTCGATTTAAAAAAAAACCCCTTCTGTCCCTGAACTACTTGAGAAGTGGGAGCCGTGTCAGAATTGTGTTTTCCAGAGATTTTTTGACATCTGATGATGCAGGCAGGTTTTCTGGTGGCCACAATAGGAATTTGGTATCCAGTTGCTTTTGAAAATCCCACTGACCCCTCTTGAATACTCAGTGACTGTGAGCTTTTGTGTTACAGCACTGCCCAGGAATGCAGAGCTTTGTGGTCCCTTTGTTTTTGTGTGCTATCTGTTTTATAGCCTTGAGGGTGGTTCAGTAACTCCAAAGTACATGGGATCCACCCCTCCCTGGAGTTGATGGACCACAGGAGGTTGCAGTGGCAAGGGTGCCTTGAGTATGGTTGTGTAGAGCTTATGTGATGTGCATCCACGTTCAGGTGCCAGGCAGAGGTTGGTGGTTCAAGCTGCTTGGGGACACCAGTGAGAGGGCAGCACAAACCTCCTACCCGAGTTAAACTTTAGCAGCAGCTGCTGTAGGCTTACACTGAGGTTAGGACCTCGTTGTCCTCAGAATTTTACAAATGCAGCAGCTTGAGGCTTCAAAAACCATGAGGAAGGCGTATTTTGGCAGAGGAACAGAGCCCACTTGTTTAATCTGAGAAGACTGTACAAGCTAACTAGACCATCCAGAAAAGAGGTGAGAGCAGAAATGGAGGCATCTTGAGTACAAAATCCCTTTCACAAAGGAAGAGCGGGGCAGTGCAGACATGGACTAAACCCTGTGCTCCACCAGTGCCTCGTCCCTGGGAGCCAGCAGCATCGGGGCGCGCTGAACCGGGGTCTGCGGCTACAGCCATGCTTGGAGCAGCAGATCTGCCTCCCCGTGGCCCTGTTGCATGCACGTGAAACAAGAAGGTTGCACGGATCCATCTGTCCTCATGATAAAGCATGCTGCCTCTTCTGTGCAAAGAGGCAGAAGGGAAATCTGGGGGCAGGGGTTATGCTGCAGATGACTTTTAAGGAGGGGAAAGATATCCACTCGGAGCTTTTTTTAAGTCAGGTGTTTTGCAATGACCCTTCTCCTGTCACTTGAAGAGCTCATGACATGTTTTCTGTTTCTATTTCAGGCCAAGAACATCCTAATAGCCTGCGGCACAAATACAACTTTATTGCAGATGTGGTGGAGAAGATAGCTCCTGCTGTGGTTCACATTGAATTATTTCGCAAGTAAACAAGATGCCCAGTTTTGATTTTTGTATTCTTGAAAACAGCTGCCAGTGTGCCAGAAATGTTGATCAATGCTATGCAATAGCAAAGAGGTTTTTGAGATAACTATACGTTATACTTAAGAATTAAAGATAATTTAAGAGTCCTGGCAGAAAAAAAAAGACTAAACTAATGCATGTGTGTTATCTTCTTAATGTTAGTAACAGCAGATATCCTAAAGCATTAAAGACCACCAAACTCTTTTTTGCTGTGTATCATTTGGAATGATTTGTTATCTTTCAACTTTCGCAGTGATAAATGTTTATTTCCTGTGTCTTTTAGACTTCCTTACTCGAAGAGGGAGATTCCTGTTGCTAGTGGTTCAGGGTTCATCGTCTCAGAAGATGGACTGATAGTGACAAACGCCCATGTCGTCACCAACAAAAACCGGGTGAAGGTGGAACTGAAGAACGGTGAAACATATGAAGCTAAAATAAAAGACGTTGATGAGAAAGCTGACATTGCACTAATTAAAATAGATTCTCAGGTGAGTTGTTAAAGCAAGACGCATTTTATTCCTCTTAATTTAGCATCCTCCTTTCTGAAAGCTATTGCTAATTTTCATGTTTGAAGGCAAGTTTAGTGGTCTGAGTTACTGAGAATCTTTGAGCTAGGTGAGTACACATTTTTAAAGCCAAGTTTGTGGTTGGTAGTGGTTAATTTTATCACCTCTCAGTATAGTGCAAGCAAGTACATCTCACTTCTGTATGCATCCTCAAAATAAAAACCAACATCATTTACTGGCTGGTTTACACAATACTGACATAACTCTCCCTCTGAGAAGAAATGGGGGCTGTTGCCTTGTAGTTGGTAGAGGGATGTATTAGTCCTTCTTGTGTGTCTACTGAAGTCAGAGATTGCTTTTAGAAGATCTGTTTGTGCCTGTGAAGGGCTGCACCCCACTGATGTAGGTATTGAAATGGGAAAATACCTCAGGAAGCATCTTGGTCATGCAAACTAAAGGCAGCTTGGAAAGATGCTTTTACACTGCAAGTGGTTTCCTGAACAAACAGGAATGCAGCTTCCAATCCATAGTCTTCCTCCATGTCAAACACAAGGCTGTCGGCATTACTCTGCCTCCTGCAACAGCGGAAAAGCTGTCATGCAATTAGAGTCATAGAATCAACGACGGTTCTGCACATGTCAGCAGCGTAGCACAAGTGGAATATTGTGTCAAAATACTACTGTGCAATGTAGCTGCAATTAGTTCCATGTGATTGCTTGGGGTGCTGCTCTTGTTCACACTGCTAGTTAATGACCTCCAAATTTGATGGGCAAGAACATTTCATTTGAAACACATGACTCAAATATGTGTAGATCTTGCAGTGTTGCTTTAGTTCAGACCTATTCCCCAGTGAGGTCAAAAGTGTTTGTGCCAGAGTTCATGACTAAATCAGACGTCTAATGCAGAACTCTTGGATGACCCAAGATAGGAAGTGCTCTTGCTGTTCCCTTGCCACCTTTGTCATTTAAAAGCTTTCTTTTTTCTTATTTAAAAGCTTCTTCACAGCAAACATGGCAGAAAACCTTAACAATACCAAGAATTGGTTTTTGCCATCTTGTTTTTCCCTCTCTTTACTTGCGGTGGCCTATTTACACATTTACCAATTGTTTATTTTCTCATTTTTATATTAAAATAAGCAAAAGCAGATCTGCAGTAACAAAGCAAAGGGAAAGATCCTCGAGATGAGAACTGGCAGCAGTAGGCTGAGTAGGGTATGGCAGGGAATGAGGGGCAGCTGGAAAAGTGATGTAAAATTGGAAGCACAATATGATGGGGAAGGTAGACCAGAAAATGCTGGTGAGGAGGTAGGGACTTAAAGTGATAGGAAGGTGAGCTTCAGAGGATGGAGAAGCTGGCAAGTCAATGAGAGGAGACATTGAACTGATGTGACAGATTGTTTTGAGGGCTTAAGAAGAGAGCAGCCATAGGGTTTTATGTTATTTTTGGAGCCTGGCTTCAAAATTTCCCTGGTAAGCTGGTTGCGGGAAGGGAGAACCTGGAAGATTGGAAGCAGCTTGGAAAAAAGAGAATGCAGCCAGATGAGTTGCCTGTAATGAAAACCACTGCTAAACAGGACTGGAATTGGTGATTCTGGTTATGACTTGCAAGGTGGCAGATCCTCTTTCTTTTTTAAAACTTATTGCTGTGTAATTATATGATAATCCTTGTCTTCTTCCATCGGTTTAATTTTTGAACATCGTTGTGACCCTGTTTTGCAAACAGCACATCAGCATTGCAACCTAATTCATTCATATATATATCTGCAAATTCTTTAAGGCAGGAATTTCTGCCATCTTAGAGCTATCTAGAGCCAAATCAGCTACATCTTTCCTTTTGGGGGTGAAAAGTTTAATGAAACTTCGGGAAGCATCTCAGTGTCTGGGGGCTGAGCTCTTGCAGGAGGAGGGGAGCGGGCCCCCGTTGTCTTCCTCGTGCAATGTCAGCTTAGCACATCTGTCTGGGTAGTGGGAGATCAAAATTCATGTCTCTGCTCTAAATTAGATAGAATATGGATATAAACTGGGGTCTGGCATATCCTTGTATGTCCTGTCATATGTACAATCCAGTACCTTGTGTGTTATTCCACCCTGGCCCCTCTGTGTTGCATCTCAGGATAATTTCAAGAAGACTTGGCGAAAACTTCTTGTATTGCTTCTTTTTTTCTGGGATGAGACCAGTTTTCCAGCTAGCTCTAGTGACCTGGCACTGGGAAATCCCAATCCAGGGTGAGGCCTGAGGCACCTCTGTTTGCAGGGCAGGTGATGCTTTGCACTTGGAGAATTAGGACCACAAAATTTTAAGGGTTCACAAAAAGTTAAAATGGAAACGTGGTCAGCTGAGAATTTGATTTTCAGACTGAACTTTCATGTGGCATTTTTATATAACCATTCAGGTTCAGTGTTTGAGCCTTCCTTTTTGTACTGAAACGCCTTGCAATCATTCAGATTCATAAAAGGCTTTTTAAAATGACAGAAGTAATAATTTGTTGGAAGTTGAAATGTATTTGATGACTAAAGCACTCAATGCGACGGTACAAATAACCCTTTAAAAATCTGGATATAGCATGAAAACCTTCCCTAAGAATTTTTCTGAAGTAAGAGGTGAAATTCTTCCTTTTGAATAAATCATTTGAAGGTGACATCAAAGATGCAGATTTTTTTTTTCTTCTGTTTTTCTGTGGCATGTTAAGGCAGGATCTTGAAGGATGGAGGATGCATCTGTGGTTAGGAACAGACCTGGCCTTGAAGTATGAGTTTAGGCTGTCACCTGGCATTTCTAAAACTGTTAAGATTTTGCAGCAGCCTGCATGGTGTTTTTCTTTAAGCTGTGAACATCTGGCCAAAGACATTACTAGAACTAATTTGGCTTTGCTGAGTGCAATAGGAAATGAAAGAGGGTGGTAAAATCTGGGCACTAGTAAGGATGAACTGTTTCCCTGATTAAATTCTTCTCCACAAAAGAACATACTGCAGGCAACAGGGAACAGAAATCTTGAGGTTGTTCTTCTAATCCTAAAATACGCTTATTTTTACAGTCTATAATATATAGAGAAACCATATTTCTTGTGTCCGTAGTGAGAGACAGCAGTTGCTGAAGTGTTGAAAGTAGGAGGTAAGATTGGTAAATGCGAAGGCAACATAACCATCCTTCCAAATGCAAACAGCTTTGAGGAGACAGCAATACTAGAAATGCTGCAGACAATTTGCATACAAACATTTAACATTTATAAAACTGGCCTAGAAAAATTTGGACTTTGGCAGCACAGGCAGAGGCTGGTGAAATAATCCATCCTGCGTGGCACGTGTGATACTGCAGTGAGCCTGAAACCCATCAAAAATATTGCACAACACTCCAAGGCTAGCAGATGCTTTTGAGCTGGGAAAGCTTGATTATGAAATTCGTCTCAAGACAAATAAATGAGAATGTGTGATACAGCTGCTGAAAACTGTAAACACCAGAAGGAGGAAGGAGAAGTTTAGGGGTGGTTTAATGGGCAATGTCAGGGTTAATGGAGGGTAGACTTATAAAAGAGCCCTGTGCCCTCAACCCAAATCGAAGCGGGAAGACAAAAGTAGTGGAAGGTAGAGGCAGGTTTTACCTGGAGACCCCTTTCGTCCCTGGAAATGGGACTCTGCCCTGCCTAAATTTATCTCTGCAGCAGGTGCCTATGGTTTGGCGGCGAGGATGGTGAATGACTTTACTTTGAGGTGTATCTTCCTCCTACACGCTTAAAAACCAGCCACAAGACACTTCCCACCGACTCCGAAAGAGCACCTGTGTGGTGGAAAACATGCCAAGGTCTGAAGGTTTTTGTTCCTTGATGTGACCAGTTACTGACTTCTGTATCCCAGGCAGGATTTGGCATTTAAGTGACAGCAGTAGTGGGTTTGTGACTGATCTCTAATTTGCAGTGGTATTCCAGCCCTTTTGCTTAACGTTTTTCCTGCATTTTACTAATAACCACTTAGTTTGACACTTTTAAATCAACACGATCTTCTGCCCTCATTCCTTCGGTGGTTTCATGAGGCAATGCAGCGTCTGTATCTTTGTGGTCAGAGGGGATTTGCTTTTTTTCCCCTGTGTGTACAAACTGGAGGAAGCAGGAAAGCAAACTTCCCTGTTTATGTATTGATATTTTAATAGCCTGCGTTTTGAAAAACCAAACTACTTGAATACCAGATGTAAGTGGCTTTTCTAAAATGCTATTTTACTTTGAAATCTCTTGCTGGATATTACATTGCTTCCTCTCAAGAGCCTGAGGAAGCCCGCATATTGGTTCCAGAAGTTTTTGGGACCCATAGAAATGAAATAGCTTGTAAAAAGCTTGCACGTTAACTCCTGTTTACTCATCAGTTTAGGCAGCAGTGGTTTCCTGCCCTCTCCAGCTCCTAGTAGCCCTTGCTGCGGGAACGATGTGCCCGTCCAGCTCCCTGCACATCGAAATGCTCACACACCTCCAGTGTGGGTCTGCCAGCCCCAGGGTGTTTTATTTTATTCTAAGGGAGAACAGCAATGTCTTGCCAGGTAATTGAAATCCTGGTGACATAGCAAAACAATGCTTCACCCTTTTTTCTTTTGTTCTGCAAGCTTCCCATGCTCCATATTTAGATAAGGAGACTCAGTTTTGTTTTTCTAACTATAGATGAAATACTTTTGGAGGCTTGTAATGCATTCAGCTTGGGTTTTTCATTTTCTTTGGCATTTTGTCAAGCAGTTTCTAGGTAGTAGATGATACTCTACATTTTTATACGCTCATGGCCTGTGTTTACATTTTGCCATAATGTATTCTGCACGTCAAATAGTTTCATTAATGAGAACAGAAATGCAATTCCCAGGGAAGTTACATGTTTTGCCAGAGTGAGTTACAGCTGAATTAGCGTGCTGTACAAGCATCTGTTTCTTTTCCACCTAAAAATAAAAAGCATGAAGGAAATCTGTCACTATTTAAAACAAATTGAACCCTGAACATTTGTCTCCTCTTC